GTTCCAGTCGATGAGAACATGATGGAGCGTTTTAGAATATCAAAGTGGTATACTACTATTGATCACTAGCATAATATGTCTCCTACCGGATTGGCCAAAATATAATGTTGATTTAACAAATGCTAATATCTATAAATACATTTGGAGTAAAGTGCTTCTCGCACATATTGCGCCTTCTCTCTCGTGTTCAGGTCGCTGTATGGTTCTGGTCTGGGGATTAGGAGAATAGCTGAGGAACCAAAATATAGCGTTCAAGTAGCGAGACTTATGAAAAAACAAGATAATTCCTTATTAATTTCGTTATTTCTTAGATGGTGGAAATGTGTGGCTCGTCACACGATTTACTTATCACTTTTTAATATCAGAACTTTACCAGTTGTAATGGTTGAAATAGATATGAAGTATAAATTACGACATCACACTAAAGAACTACGGAGAGAATGTAACCGATAATTGATTAGCTGAATTCCAATGTGTTAAGAGAGGAGCTCCTTCAAGTGTATACATAATAAATTTTATAAATAATAACATTTTAGCTAACACAACTAGATAATTGAAGTGAGGTTAGGTGGGAAGACATTTGAGTGACGCTGAAGTGATTTTGCTAATGTTCACCTACTGACAAGTGCGAGATGTGCGTTATAAACTAGTTAAAATGGTGGTTGGATGAATTCAACATGCAAACCTGGACCTAGGCATCGTTCTAATTGACACTTGTCAGCAAAGTGTAAATGTAATCTTGAGAAAACTGATGTTCCCTAACGGATTCCATCCCGTGTCACCTGGCTTCATATTTAGCTACATGGGCATAGACTAACCGTGACCATGACTCACCCAGAACAGTGGCCTCATTCCAACTTGTTCGATAGGATTCGATCTGCATTATGAACGACCTGATATACATGGAATTGATCACCACTCAGTGATCAATCAATTGTTATAAACCAGTGTGAGGAATTAGAATTTCGATTTACAGTTGATGGTTCAACTTACGAATTAGATTTAGAATTTTCATCACGAACAGACATCAGCAAAATGCAAGAACTCCATTTTGCCAAATGGATGAATGAGCTTCGCGTCAAAATACAACACGTCTTATCATAAATCTCATTGGTTCATCTATAAATTATAGTCTCACAACCATAAGTAATCAATAATGTTGATGTGATCAATAGTAAAGCCGATCATCCTTCGCGCCAAAATGCAAGACGTGATATCCTAGTATGAGACAAACAAAGAAAACAAATTCTTGAACATTTTGTTCATAATTAATCAATTCATTAATTTAGTGCAATCTTCACGAATTTCAGATCAATAAAAGCAATGCAGAATAAGGAATTGATAAATCGTTTGTTGTCGTTTCAGTGGGTAACACGTTGTGGTGTTGTATAACTCAGCTTTACCTTTTGTAAGCACTGACACGATCGATAATGTGACTATTTCCGATTAACTTTGGTTCATTTATTCACACGAATTCATTTGATTTTGTATAGTTCTTTCTAAAGTCAATTCACATTATGGAGTGGAATTAGTTAGACACAATTTGAAATAAACTAGAGTGTATTAGACAGAAACATAAGATTCATGTAGACACAGGTATGAACGATTCAGAACGTATATGAATAACAGTGAGAATCGATGTGATTCAGGATTCTTGTTCAGTCTACTTTTCTTCGTCATAATTGAGTCATCAAATATGATGTGTATAAATTTTGTATATTTGATTGTAATGAGATGGTGTTATTTGAACGAATTCTTGTAGATGTAGATTGGAGGTGATTATGGATAAATCACGACATGATTTGCTTACTTTATTATTATTATTATTATTATTATTATTATTATTATTATTATTATTATTATGAGGGATTTGATTTATTCGCTGTTGATATTAATGACTGAATTTTGACCAGTCTTCATTTGTATTCCGGTGTAAACATTGACACTGAAAAACAGGTGGACCTATCTGATGAGTCACTTATAGGACGGAACTGGTTTCTTAGATTCCACTGGCAGACACCAATTAACTAAACTTAAGAAGTCTTGTGACTTATTATCACTATCCAGACACTCATTTAAGGGTACAAATATGCGAATGAAGACTGATCAATCACAGTCATTAACACCACCAACGGGCAGGTTCAAACAATCATGTGTCAACGTCTGGTTAACGCAGCTCCAGTTGTTCAAGCTGGTGGATATCTGGACTCAGTAAATCAGTGGATAATGCAAAGCGCATTCGAGAAGTAGGCACTGATCAACGTCTATCTTCGTGCACTCCTTGTCGAATAACGAGATGAAGTAATTGTTGTTAGTTTTATCTTTGAATTACAAACCGAAAAATATGCATTTACAAAAACTATTCAAACTACATGTATATTATACGTAGTTTTATATGTTAAGGCAATAGCATATCTATTTCTAAAGAAACCACTAATAGGTATACTTGGATTTAAAGTAAATGAAAACTGCAAGTGAACAGGTTTTCGCTGTTTACATCGTGTTTACGAATGTTGCTTGCCTAAACATGTCAAAAGTACCAACCACCTAATTAACGGCTAAATTGTTTTCACTCGAACATCAGGGATTATTGATGACTCTGCAAATTGATATCGGTTGTGTCCAAATGTGTATTTTATTGAGAATATGTAACCTCTCTCAGAAATCACAAATGATGTGGGAAGTAGTGAATAAGCAAATTTTCTTAGATTTAGGTAATTTAATTCCCACAGATAAGGTCTTCGGCAATGATGAGTACACTGATCAGTGTTTATTCCTCATCAATCAGAATAAGTTGGCTTGCTGTTTTGTCGTTTGTAATTATGGAGAGTTCACAAATGTAATTTATTAATGCACCAAACTCTTCAATCAAGTGTTTTTTGGCTTCCGTAATTATTGTGTTTTGTTGAATCGACAGATTGGTATAAACCATTTATCTAGTGGATTCAGTGTTTCCATATTTAGCATTAATCTGTAACATTAGATGATACTAATTGAATGGCTGGGTTGTGTGAACTTTCGTTTTAAGTACTTGCATTTACTAACTAACACTTTTTCAGGTATATACCGGGGAGAGAGTTCGTGACAAGAGTATTTGCGTAACGTACCATGCCTGATGATATGACGAGACTTTTACACAGTTAGGTAATCTGGTATGCGATGCGTTTTCAGTAAATAGCCATCCACCGACTATGACACTCGTTCATATGAAACCGTTGGTAGTTACTTCTAGAACATTCATTTCAGTCTATCGATCAATAACACGAATAATATATTCAGTAACTTGAAGATCATACAGAACTGGTCTGTTCAGTTAGCACTCATGTGTGGATTACTGTGTGTATTTCAAGTTGAACATTCGCAACTGAGATGTATAACCAAATCACTCTCAGTACATCAATCGTAATCTGTTTGATATTCAACATCTAACCAATTTATATCGTATAGAATGTTAATTGGATGTTCTCTCATATCGATAATCACTGTCTCATTCACTGAACTATGTAATTGTTAAGTGAATCAGCCTATTATGCACTACCTGATTTGAACTTTGATCTGACCAAAAGTCGTATTGTTCTTTATACTGTATTTATTGGTCACTGATCGTTTTCATTTGCATCAGCACTGTAAAACAACGTTGAGTGAGTTGAACAGCTTTAACGAGCACTGCTTGTGTACACAACGAATGTTGCACAAACATCCAAATGAAGGTTTGTATTTACATTAATAGATTTTTTGACCAACATTGTTGAGAACGATCAAGTTAAACTAATTGAATGATGTAATCATATCTCGATTATTTAATTGGTATGTTGAATGGCAAGACTGAACAGAGAAATGACACTTGTATTTGGAAACATGAAACAACATTACTGATACAAGGCATTTGAATATCAATATTGTTGTCAGTTGAATTTTGATTTGGGATATAATTCATGAAACTAGTGAACATACAGAATAAACAATGATGGATTAAACAAGATTCGCTTATTTGACTTGTACATTCGTGGAATATTTATTCATTGAATGTATTGATGATTGGATGAAAGTTTTGAAATAACTCATTAGTATTACATCATTTGCATCTATGTCACTAGACATTTATAAATTCTAGAAATTGGATCTGATGAGGTTATGTACATGTTTCACAGACAAGAGGTTAGTAGACAGGACTTCATTTTCTAAACTAATCAATGTGATGTATGATAGTGAGTCTTGTATTTCAGGGGAAATTTCATTTCATTAACATCATTTAAGCATATGACCTGATGTTAGTTCATGAGTTCAATTATTCGTGTATTCTGAGAGGATCATGTGCTTTTCACATTGGTGAATTTGACTTAAACGAGAACAATTAAAACAGCAGACATAACATGAATTCATTGTATTTCGCGGTTTCTCATCAGCTGATTAAACCTTACACATAACATAGTATAATAACTCATCGAAATCAACGTAATCACCTTCTATTTAGAAATGAGTCTGTTGAATAAACTCCTAGAATGTTCAAATATTCAACTAACAAATGTTCAATTGATTTCATGTATAAATATATCGAATATATCGTTCTCTCATACTGTTCAATCTTTTCATTAATTCCCATTGAGGAGAACTCTTCCAATATAAAATATGTAGACCGAGTTTTAATGATTGATATTATGGTGCTGAGGTTTGAAGAAACTGTTGAGAAACACCGAACTATAGTAGATTCATTTTATCTCTACCACGTAAATTGTCTTTGCTTTGCTCAAACATGATGAATGTTTCATTAACACTTTTGTTCACAATATTCACTAATCATAACAGTGTCAGTCAAGTCAGATTGCTTTATATAATCAATTGCTTAGTAGTAATCTTATATCTCATCCTCTCTTATCAGGATCCCATGCATACAATGATGGAATCAAATATAATAATCAAGTGGTAATCTGTGACGATTCCACGTTATCTGGAATGGTTGATCCAGTACGCACTCGATTAATATTGAAAGTAGAAATCAGTTGAAAATATTCATTTCAGAATGTAGGTGTTTTTAACCAATATCCTTCAAGTGTTTCTATCAATGTTGATGACAGCATTAGTGTTCGCAATGTATGTCGCTTACTAATAATTCTGATGTTTCATAATAATATTTTTAGAAGTAAATTCACTAAATTTCTTGATCAACACTACTGGGTTGGTATTATTTTAAGGTAAGTGTATTGAATGAGATTTCAACATAATATAATGGAAATGCATTTAGTAAGTTTATTTATTTTATTTGAACACGAATATATTAATACAAACACGTAAATCTTGGTTTAAAGGCGCACCGAATAAATATGCGCCACACAAGTCACTTGATATTTTTTGTGGGCTATGATACTGCCCGGATGCTTAAATCGAAGTGGCCGGTTTTCTTAGGGGGCCACTCTTCGAGACATTGACCTATAGGTCTGATCAACAATACAGTGGAGGTACATCAGTATATGCAGTCACATGGTAGCCGGTGAATAAGGACTGGTTCATAAGACATTCGATTCTTTAGTATCAGACATTTCATACACGTATAAGGTACAAACAAATGTTGTGCATTATTATGTTAAAACGGGTTCGTATAAATGACAAATCTATTATTGTTATTACATATACATATAGCATAATAATAAAATATCGTGAATACCACAAATCTATTTTGAATAACATTAAAGACATTTCAGTTTCATTCATTTTTCATGCGCTTCCAGATGGGTTCACGAAAAAATATGGAGCAAAATAAAGTTTAACATAATAGTCTATCCTTCAATGTATATGATTGAATGATAGTGCTTGATTGGGCTATTCAACTACGTGTACATTTCATCAGGATATATACGGTTTGCACCACATCATTTATTGTGATATTTTTCAACTACATTTTTCAAATTGAACCTAGTTATGTTATTGAATTGGTTGTGACACTTTATAATTTACATTACAGTTTCATCTCGACTGGTGCAACCATTGCAATTTTCTTTATTCAGAGATTCACACATTTGAAATACCTCACGGATTTCCTTTACGTACTACTCGTAAGTTGTTTTTGTTAGCAATGGACGAATGTGTGTAAAACGTTTGCCAAAAGTAATATAAACGTGATTTAATACTGCTGTATCTCAGTACTATATCACATCATTAAGTTAGTCGTTATGTAAATGAGACTATTCTGTGAATGTGCAAAATGAGCTATTGATATTGCTAGATATGGACAAACATGTATTATCTTTGATCACCAATTCACCAAACATCGTATGTGATTTATGTGTTATCTGTTCACTGATCTAATCTCGAGACGACAACTGAGGATGTGGATACGTGAAAATTCTCTATATACATGAGTGGAGAACATTGTTGTTAATTGTGAAATGTGTGTTTAGAGACTGACAGTAACTTGTTCATACGAGCAAAATTTATGAATGCTTTATCAACTATAAACGTTTCACTCCAACATCCGACCGACTTGATAGAGTCGTCGCTGATCACGAAATATGGTTACATGAGAAAGGTGTCAATCGATAATTCTGATGATTTCTCGAGATCATTTGAATGTCCAGTGATTATCTGTATGTACTATGAAGTTCATTCAGTACAGATTTCATGTGTTTTATCGAGTTATTTCGTAATATACGATCACAATGTTCAACCACCTAATTATTTATTACCTAAAAGTATTTCTCTCCTTTTAAGTTAATTTGGCACAAATGTTCTGTTTAATAAAAATAAGATTTAATAGATGGTTTCGCTGATATAAAAGTTAATTAAATTATTCATAGTGTCATTGAGTAAGAAAGAGAGAATTCAGAGAAGAATAATTTCTTTTCGACAAAATCATTTTCTCAAGCTGTACATTCATATATATAGATCTATGGAAAATATATGCCCTTTGAACAATCCTCTTTTCATCAATTTTTATTTCAAGAGCTTCAGCTTTGCTGGTGTGATAACCTATCTTTCAATTCACGCACAGGGAATGTTCATATTTATCAGTTGGATTTTGGCCATCATTCTATCAGTGTTATTGTTTATGATTTTAATAAACATTAAACGTGATTTGGTCAGATATTTTTGGTTGTTTTTGTTTTATGTCATTATTGTCATTCTTATCATTTTTGTTCTGGTGATCCCATGGATCTATGGTATTACAATGGTGAGTTTTAATTAATTTATATTTTAGTATATTGTATGATGATTGTGATTTTATTACACATTCTAAACCAATGTTATGTATCAAATGGTATTATTCAATAAGCTCTCAATGCACACCGCAAATAAACATGTTCACTGTTATACAGGATCCACTATGTAATCATCAGCGTAGCTACGATAAATTCCATTACTCTTCCACCATTGTTGAAAATACATGTCCAGTGCTATCCAGATTTCAATGTTTAACTGACTAAAATCACTTCATAGTGTAAACTATGATTTACATCATTTACTTTATCAAGACAAACATTTAAGAACAAAGAGTATTAGATAATTGTTTTGTTTCATTATAAGACTTTATTCCCCCTCATGGGATTTGATCTCAGGGTTTTCAGTCTCGTGTGCAAATGCTTAACCTCTAGACTACTGAGCTAATCGGTATCCAATCATGCTAATGTTTAACATCAACTAATCCACAAAATTGTTTTAGTATTTCAAATAAACAATCAATTATGTGACTTGTAGTTATGTAATATAATGTAGGGAAATCATAGCAATATATAGGTGTCATTAATCAGTTTAATGCACTATCAATATATTATGGTGATTAAGTCACATAAACAATTGTGCTCTCAAAAGAGGTTTTGTAGGACTGCATAGTATAATGACTGTTGAAATTTCTATTTGGAGCTATTCCCGTTCATCGACCTAAAAGATCTGTACTTGATGCAACTCTTTAAGTGGATGAACAAGAACTAGAATGGTTTTTAGGAAATGGGTGTTACTGAACCCGTGAACTTCTCAGATTCGGCTGCACTGAAAGTGGTGGTCGAGAAATTCAATGACAACGTTCGCTTATGTGCAGATTACTTTAATAGACTAAATGAAACTCTAGAGTTTCACTAATATCTTTTACCTTGACCTAAAGATCTTTTTGTCAAGCTAAACAGTGACAAGTATTTTGCAAAATTCGGTTTATCAGACGCCTATTTACAAACCCCTGTAACTGATGAAAGTAAAGATCCCCTCACGATCAACACACACAAGGGTTTGTCCCGATATGACTGACTTTCCTTTGGAGTGAAGACGGCACTCTCTATATTTCAGAAAATTATGGATACTATGTTACATAGTATTCTAGGAGCGGTGACTTATTTGGACGATGCCACACACATGGGAGCAGACAAAATAAACTTGCAAAAGCAACTTGACCAGGTGCTAGCATGCATAGCTGAATATGGTTTTGCCTCCATGCAGAAAAGTGTGACTTCTATATGCAACAGGTACGGTACCTCGGTTTTATAATAGATAAAGATGGAATACAACCAGATCTAGAGAACGTTAAAGCTGTAAAAACTATGCCTAGACCTAAGGACATCCCTATCGTACGATCTTTCTTAAAATTGGCCAGTGATTATGGAATTTTCCGTTCTGATCTCTATCGTCTGCGTGCTCCACTAAACCACTTACCTGAAAAGAATGCGAAATGGGATTGGTCGACAAATTGTCAAACAGATTTCGAGAAAATCAAGCATCTGCTAGCCTCCACTTTCTTACTTAAGCACTTTGGTCAATCTCTGCCAATGGTGGTTCCTTCATATACTTCAAATTATGGTATCGTGGCAGTCACCTCTCATATTTTTCCCAATGGGTCTGAAAGGCGATCTTTAATGCAGCCAGATCATTAATAACGATAAGACGGAACTATAGTCAAATTGAGAAAGAAGCCCTTTTGATTATCTTTGCCGTAAAAATGTTCCACATGATGATATTTGGTCGGTGATTAACCCTATAAACAGACTATAAAACATTGTTGGACATATTTGGGTCGAAGAAAGCGACTTCAGGGTATACAGCAAACAAACTATAATGATGGACAACAACACTTCTGAGCTACGATTTCATGATTAAACACCAGTCTACTACAGCTTTTAGGCAAGCTGATGCCTTATCGAGACTAATAGGTTTTCAGACAAAAACTTCAGAAGACATCCTCGTAGCAAATACAAAAGCTGAATAGGAAGTTCATCGTGTATTGGATGACTCAATCGATAGACTACCAGCCACCTTCGAGGCTATCAAGGAAACCACCGAAACTGACAAGACATTAAGAGAAGTTAGGAGTTATCTCTCTGCAAAATGACCAAACCATCGCTGTGAAGGAGAAACTTTGCAGCACTTTTGTCGACGTGACTCACTGATGGCTATCGACTCATGTATTATGTTCGGTGATCGAATTGTCATTCCAGAATTATTGCGCCACAATGATCTCAAGCAGTTCCACAGTAGTTACATTGGGATCAATAAAATGAAATCACTGGAGTGAAGTTACGCTTATCGGTCCTCAAGGGACTGAGATATCAAAAACAAATGCCGCAACTGTTCAACGTGTCTGCAAGCTGCTGGATATCCTTCGAAATGAGAACCACAGAAATTGCCTAAGCCTGTTGAACCCTGGAAGAGACTTCATATGGATTCCACTGGTCCAGTCCAAATTGAGGTATTTACGAAGTGGCCAGAAGTATATGGTATAACCAACTGTACAGCCTCAGAAACCATCAACAAATTATCTACTGTGTTCAGTTGTTTCAGAGTTTCAGAGAACTCGGTGACTGATAAATGCTCACAATTCATTTTGGACTCATTCAAGCACTTCTGTAGTATATATGAAATAACACATCTACGCTCTCCACTCTACCATCCGCGGTCGAATGAACAAGCAGAAATCGTTGTCGACACTTTTAAAATAGCATTATTAAAAGGAGAAGATGAGAGGACAACTAGTCAGGTAATCATAAAATTCTTAACAACTTACAAGACTACTCCCAACCCTACTGTTCTAGGCGAGAAGTCTCCTGACTAAGTCATATTTGGAACAGGTATTCGAACTATTTTCAACGTTATGTTGCCACCTAAAGTAGTGGATAAGCACAGACAAGACCCCAATATCCGAATTTTTAGTGTGGACGATAAAGTATTCGTCAAGTCATACCTCGGAAAGAATCTATTGGAACCAGTAACGAATGTA